TCTTGGATACTATTCACAATATTGGCTTGTTGAGCATTAAGATCTTCAACCAGTTGACTCACTTGAACTTTCAAGTTGTGAATAGTTTCCTCTTGCCTTTCTATCTGCAGCTGTCTTTTACTATTTTGTTCCACAAGGCACTTTAACATATCATATTTTTCCACAAAGTACTTTTGCATATCCTTGATCTCTTTCAGGTCATCATCCCTGGTTCTTTGTTCCTATTAACTTCACAAGAAAAAGAAGAACCATCAAAGTAAGGGGTTGGGGAAACATAAGAAATATAAGCACAACCATGAAAGTGACCATCTTGACCACCACACATATCACACACATTCCATACATAAGATTGAGTTGGTGCACATAACTCGCTCTCGGAAATATTATGATAATTTTGCCAAGAGTGGTTTCCTCCACTATATGCATAAGGAGGATCAAAAGTAGAATTACCAACATCAAAACTCACATAATTCCAAGACGCCATATTTTTAAAATTAACAAGTAAAACAAAAATAAAAAAATCAAATACAAGAAAGCAAAAATAAAAGTTCAAACTTGCAACCTAGCTATATATACACCTACAGCTAAACCGTTAGCTCCCCGGCAACGGCGCCAAAATTTGAGTTCGCCCAACTATGCCTTATAAAAAGAACTAAGCGGTTGTTACAAATATAATCCGGTTTACAAGTCCGGAGTCGAATCCCACAGAGAACTAAGGCTTAACTACAACTGTTCAATATTGCAAAGAAACACACGTTCGAATAATTTTCTGGTTATAAAGATTTTATTTTTATTTCTACTAGTTAATTAGCAAATATTATAAAACAGTAAAATTATCAACTAACATGGATGAAATTCTAGACAAGACTAAGGAGGTCTAGAGTTATGATTTTCCCAATTGTCGGAATCCTTTTCGCTATGTTTCCTATAAATTTGCCTAAGTCTTCTCTACCGATCATGGGTACTCTAACTGTCGTAACTCTCTCCCGAGTAATTATCACAATTTACTAGACATATTCTCCCGAATTACGCTAGCTGGCATTAAGTACAACTCACTCAGATCACACCAAGGTTTCGTTATCCTTAATCCCACCTTTAAACCTTCGTATTGATCCCCCATATAGGAGTGATGTTGTTCAAAAACTACCTAAATATGCACTCTCTCCCGAGTAATACATACTAAATAGGCACAGCTAATTGAGGGCCATTCAATCAACTACAACAATAATATAGTTGAACAAATAGAGAAAATACTACGGCAAATCTATATTAACGTAACAAGAAAATCATCCTCCAATAGGTTCCATCAAAACCCTAGATAATAAATTAGCTACTCATACTCATAGTAACAATATCCCAAATATTTTGCATAATTAAAATATAGAGTAAAGATGAAAAGATGTAGAAATCGATGATTCTAACTCCCAATAGGTGATTCCACCAACTCTTCTTGCCTCTGGCTGCCCAAAGTCCCTCCAAGTGGTGTTTTTAGGTCTATTTATATGTGTATAAGAAACCCTAAACGTGAAGGTCAAGTCCTAGTCAAACCCGGAAACGAATTAAGTCTTCAAAACTCGGATTGGACCTGGCCTCAGGCCTGGCGTCGCCAGCCTAACGCCTGGATTTTGGCTGGCCTCGCCAGGTCTCTCTTTTTCACTGTTCTCGAGCACACTTTCAACGTTTAAGTATCCCTTTTGCTCTACTTTCATCTCCAATTCATCTACACATAAAATAGATTCCATTATGCGCAAATAAAGTATAATTTATCATTAAAGCATGTAAAATGCAAGGCACATAATGTACAAAACTATGGAATTATAGCCACACATCACGACTCTTAAGAAGATGCTTAATACTTTGAAGGAGTATTTGTCTAAAATACCCCTTATCTCTTCTAAACGTCTTATGTAACTAACACTCCAGTAATCGGAATAATAAGGGTAAATTTGGAAAATTAATAATAAATAATATAAATGATTTTTTGCTTTTTTAATATCTCAAAAAATTTGAAATAAAATCAATTTGCCAAAAGGTCAAATATGTGTGACCGGAGGATTTCGGGTTCGAGCTATGAAAATGAAAAAAATTTCAGATAGGTAGCACTTCCTCCTATAATAGGCCTTATACGACATAAAATCAAATTAGTCGAGCTCTAAAACAGACACCGGATACCAACCAACGAATGAGAATATAAAGAGGAGGTATAACTTTCTTTAAAGATATAGATTTTTTTTGGTAAGAGGGGAAATCCGCAGCCGTTACAACCTCTGCCACAGCCTCTACCCTTCGGGTGAGCACTTTGTGGTGAGCACTGGGTAAACCTCCCTCTGTGTAATAGCGTGCAAACTACACAGAGGATGTAAACCGCACTAGGCAAGCCCTGTGCGACAAGCTCAACCCCAGAAGGCATTGAGGGGGGAATCGATCTCAGATCATCCGTATGGATAACCGCCCTCCAAACCAACTGGGTAACCCCGATAGATTACTCGAACTAAATGCTAATTCCCTACATCTTTTAACTATTTGAATGACTGTATAAGTGACAAAATGATACTGTTAGGTCGAGGGAGTGAAGAGAAAGGAACCATTTTTGAAAGGAATAAATATTCCACCGTACGCTTTTTGTAGAAAAGGAACAAAAGCAAAAGTCTATGCTTTTTTCCCAATCGGAGTGCAAGTAATGTTCACTCAATCACTTGTCACTAGCTACTCTATAAAGTACCATCAATTTACTATTTTCATGTTTTGTATAGTGAATGAGCCATCGCTATAGTTTTGTCCACATTGTGTCTTTGAAAATGGTTTCCTTTTATTCTTTTTTTTTAGATTTTCATCTGGTATCGGTATATGTATTAAAGCCCGATTAAATCTAAAACAACCCAAAAGTTTCATATTTGGGAGTGAAGGAGAGGCCCCTGGAGGGGGCGGGGAAGCATTGTCTAATAAAGACAACTCCATATCCGGAACTCAAATAGGAAACCTCTGATTATGGTGAATTAGTACTTACCATCCAACTTATTAACGCTTTTCTTTAGCCGAAAGTCTATTGGAAGCAATTTCTATCTTATGTAGAAGTCTATGTACACCGCATCTTCTCTGAATGTCACTTGTAAAATCATACTAGATATATTGTTATTATTGTTGTTGAGTACTCCATTCGTTCTCTCATTCAGTCATTATCATAATGGAGCATGGACGAAGCAAAAACACAATAATGTCAAACCCCTCACGCGGGCAAACCAGTACTATTAATTGCAGGTATTGTTATGTCCCTGCTCTTGTATTTTCAAACCGGTATTGAAAACGGTTTTTTGACTCGAGTATCTTTCGGGAGATAACTTTTTTATCTCACATAACATAAAGTTTGCATACACACTAACATTCTCAAACTTCACGTGTGGAATCACACTGAATATATTATTATTATAATTGTAGGTAGGAATGTACAAATCGAACCGAAAAATTGCATCAAACCGAAAAGTCAAACCAAACCGATTAAAAAATCCGACTTAGTTTGTTATTGAGAAAAAAATATAAACCAATCCGACATATAAATATATAATTTTTATATATACATTTAAGATTTTATATAGAATTTTCTTTAAAAAATATCTAGAAATATTTGGGATTCTCTTGCGGGATATAAATTTTAATAGAATATGAAGTGTTTCATATTTATTGACCTTAAATAATAGGTTGTATGATCACTTTCTTATCAAGTGTTACTGAAATGCGTTTATCTCTTTGTTCTTCCATATTCATATCATATGTTAAAATCTATTAAATTCTTATATCTTTTTCGAATGTGAAGTGATTATTAATATTTAGGTATCATATTGATTTTTATGTTTAATTACTACATTCGGTTAACCTGAAAGTATACATCAACAAAAAATTATTGTGAGACGACTAAAAAAATAACTATTATGTGTTACTAATAGAATTCTCCCATAAGAATATTTTAATCGATAATATGTTTGTCAATTTTTTATATTTTTACTAAATATATATTTACTTATCAAATATCTAACAAAGTAAGATTGAAATAATATTTAAGTAACAAAAAATTCAAAAAAACCCGACACCGAACCAATCCAAACCGATATAGTTGGTTTGGTTTGGTTTTGATAAAAATCGAACTAACCCGGTCTATGTACACCCCTAATTGCAGGTATTGTTGCTATGGTAGCAAAAATTTACTATTTACACTAAAGTAATAAATGTAATTCGTACATATATTTATTAATTATTTAATTATGGTTGAGTAATATGTATCTTCACTTTAATTTTAGATCAGTAAGGTTAAATTCCTTAATTTGATATAAACACTTGTGCAGATAATTATATACCGTCTATCCGGCATGCCTTTCCGTATAATTTGAGGTGATTAGAAAGAAAGAGAAATGCATAATTTTAGCACTCACAAAAATAACAGCAAACAAAATATATATATTTGTACATACACATATAATATACATATTTTAGACACTTTTTGACTAACAAATGTAATTAGTTTCGGTCTACTAGCCATTTTGATGGATTCCTTCCTTCATATATACCTTCACTAATAGATAGATAGATAAAAATGAAAATGGTCGTATCGGAGCGTGGCAGGTGGAAATAGTTGCGGATGCGGATTAAGGTTCAATCCACACCGCAACCGCCCTGTCCCATTGCCATATCTACTTGTGAAAATCATGGACAAACTCGAAGCTCAAAGACTGTGAGTTGATTTCAGTTCTTTTCTTGATTTTCAGACTTGATCATTACATATTTGATTAAGCATGAGACCCCCTGAAAATAAATCCTATCTCAAGAATCTTGAAAACAGGTAACCAAAGTATACAGGTTAGAACTAACCATGTGTAAAGTTTTAAAATGTTACTAGTACTCTTGCACCACAATTTTACAGTCCAATAGTTTTTTGAATAAAAGTTTCTTCAACCACTAGTCAAGGCAAAGCTATAATATTAGGTATCGGTTCAGACGAATCCAATAGCTTTTGTTTAAACCCTGTATTTGTATTACGAAATTCACTAAATATGTATAAATATTTAATCGCAAACTTAGTAGTAACTAAATGAATAATGGGTTAGGTGGCAACGACAGAACTCATAGACTTCAAATCATGACTATGTTTTTGCCACTAATTTTGTCTTGTCATTGCTCTCCCCATCTCCTCTTCCCAATATCTACACTACCTATTCTTAGTTGATTTCTTGGTGCTGCAGCTATGAGGAAGGGCGTCGACACACCGACAAATGTCCAGTTCCGAGCTTCACCTCTATTTTCTTCTTGTGATTTCTTTTCCCAAAAATTCTTCTGATATTACAATCTTGCAGTACCTGCAGAAAGTAGATAAGATTCTGATAGAAAACCACTCTCAATTCTCAAGCCAAAGACTTACTACTTACTAAGGAAAATTAACTAATTAAATGATATAAAATCGACTTATCATATAATACTAGTTTAAGATGACAACAATACGAGGCAATTTCCACTGCTTTTGAAAGAGAACAAATGAAAGAACAATCAAAAACAGAAGCAAAGTGCTTACTTACCATCTTCCTTTAGGTATAAGTACTGCCCAATTCTTTTGAATAACTTCTGTTGAGTTTCTTCCGGTTCTTCTAACTTTGCCAGCATTATGATGACAACAACAACAACCCAGTATAATCCCACTAGTGGGATCTGGGGAGGGTAGTGTCTACGCAGACCTTACCCCTACCCTGGGGTAGAGGGGCTGTTTCCGATAGACCCCGGCTCCCTCCCTCCAAGAACTCCCACCTTGCTCTTGGGGTGACTCGAACTCACAACCTCTTGGTTGGAAGTGGAGGGTGTTCACCACTAGAGTAACCTCTTTGCCTGCATTATGAAGTTACTATATATTGAAAAAAATAAGAAAACCATAACTGATTTTTCGTGCTGGCTGAAACATTTCACATAATTCGTAACATAATCACTTGAAGTTCATAATAAAGCAGTGTTATCAAAGGCAAAAAGCACAAAAAAACTCTAAGGTCCATTGGGGCTTTAAGCGCAAATAATGTGTGGGCTTTAGTGAAAAAAAGCGCAACTGGAGAAAAAGTAAAAATATGTATATGTAGTCCAAGACTAATAATTATAAGCATGGATAACAAATATATGGACAAAGAAATTAGAAAAAAATTATGATAAAGTAAAATACCAATTGTTTAATATTGCCTTTTCAGGATTACATTAATTGGTAAGGAAAAGTATGTCTCAGAGCCTTGATGCAATACTAAAGTGCCCACAAAACGAGGTGAAGAGCTCAACATATTTTGAGCCTCGCTTCAGGGATTAAGCGCGCCTTTGATAACACTGTAATAAAGAAGTACGGAACATAAAATATACTCCCTTCATCCCGCTTTATGTGAAGAAGTTCGGAATACGAGCATCAAAGCACCAACTTCCAATATGAATTCGGACATAAATATTTCAAGTTTTTTAAAATAAAATTGACATATGCAGGAACTAAGTAAAAGGACTAAGCAGCATAGTTAACAATTCAAACTGCTAAAAGAAATGAACCTGTTTGACTCCCTAGAAAATTATAGTATTACATAAAATGGGACAAAGAAAGAAAAAAAGGTAAATCACCTCATACAATTGTTTCCATTTGAATGTTACATTCCTTAGCTTCATGTCTTGGACAACCTGATTTGTGCTTTTTTCACCAAACTGAATCTTGTAAAATCTCTTTCAGAGTTTATCAGTTACAGGACTAAGATCTCTTCCCTGAATTAAGCCAGATGTTGAGCACTGAATCAAACATGATGTATAATGTTGAAAAAAGAGGAAGAAGCTAAGCAGTTTAGTTTCTTACTTGTGATAAATTCTCTACATGCATCAACTGCTCAAGAGAACAGTGAGGCAAAATACGCTGAAGAAGATGAAACTCTGTTTCACCAACATCTCCAAGAAATCTAACATTATCTATTGCCTTCTGAACACATAAATCTACTAAAGAAGGAGCCATATGCATCATTGTCATACATCTTTGGTGTTGGATTACGTGCTTGATCCGGTCGATTTAACTGTCTTAGACCTTGGTAAATTAAGCTGATCAGCTAAAGAAAAGAAATGTAAAATCTAAATCGTAAAAATAGTATAAAAGATAACAATACATCCCCAGTGTAAATATTCTATGACACTTCCCTTAGGAACTTAAACAGCGGAAAGATACAACTGTAGCATAACCTTTAGGCTTTAAGTACTGAACAACTTTTACTATTTCTTCAATATCAAGTTTCTTGTCACTATTATTAATTACTTTTACATATTACAAGTCATGATTTGTATTAATTTGTGTATCATTTACACATTAATTTCAAAATAATTAAGAAATTATGTGTCACGACCCAATCTAAGGATGTGACTGACCTTAGGGAATAGGGTCCCCGAGTAAGCTAGTTACCAGAAATTTCATTTTTTAAAAGATGGACAAACTTTCCTTATTTCTAGGAATATAGAAATTTTCCAGTCTCAGCTAAATCATATAACACAACAAGCACCAATTAAAACAAGTCACAACTACTACTAATAACCATATGTTTGTAACACAATAATACAGAAAGTTTAAGGCATACCTATACATCTTATGATAATCAAAACATTCATGCAATGAACAAATGGAGTAACTTTAAGAGTTTAAAGAAAATATGATAACAAATGAGTAACGCTCTTCGCCCAGACGAACTAATGCAGGGATCACCTGTACTGAAATTTGAGGAACCAAAATTAGGGAGGTTCTCGTTGGTGTCAGGGATTCCAGGGATTAAGAGGATACCAGGGATTCCAGTTCCATATCAATTCATATCATGAAATAAACTTCAGTAAAATGCTTGCAACGGTAGATACATTTCAAGTAACGATAAGTAATTTCACGTTACGTGAAAAATCCGTATCTAGTAACAATAAATATCTCAAGAAACGGTTTATTAAATAACATCAATATAGTTCAAAACTATTTCTAAATAATATAATGCAAAGAACTTTTTCCATATGCAATATTTCAAACCATATAGCAAGGGGTTAAGCTAGTCAAATCCAAGTCAATGCAATGAAAGCATAAATCATGTCAGTAGTAGAAATACAAATCATGGTAAGGTTTCATTCACTTCACTCGTGATGAAATAGCTAAGTTGTCACCACGAACAATGTGTTCCACTTCCTCAACTATCTTATATCATCACAAAACTAATCTATGTATCAACTTCATGAACTACCAACATAATCAGTTCAATTCTGTCAAATTTAGTTAGTTCCTATGTGCCCGTTGCTCGAGATAGGACATTCCCCATTCATCAATTTAGGGCTACTCATTTCTTAGGTATTACAATCTCGTCATTATTTACTAATACTAAGTCTCTCCTATCTCACAATTCCCATGAATCCTCCCAATTCAAGTAACCCTAGTTTACAAATCCTTCAATTCTAAATCCTACTTGCTAGTGTTACCTTCCACCAACACAGGTACTAAGTGTTAGGTGCTCACACTAAGTAATTCTGTTCACCAAGGTTTAGACAAATAGAAAGAAATCACTTAGAGTTTTTGTCTCAACTCGCTTCATTGACCACTATGCTATAAGTACCCCTTGGGTGCAATCCTGAAGTTTTTTACTAATGACCAAAAACAGTTTTAGAAACTCAGGTATAATGTGTCCGCCCCTCTACTCTTTTCCAGGTAAACACCAGGCTTAGTTGGCATTGCGCATGGCTCAAACATGTGATCTAAGTCACAAGACCCTCAAACTTTGCTACATTCTAAACCCTAACTTTCTCAATTCAGTCTATATCTTGGTTGAATTTTCACTCTATCCAGGTCCCAATTAAAACAATTTAATTCAAACTACCAATAATACTAACATTAAATTGAAATAAGAAGGCATTAGTACCTTATATTTTTCCTCCTCTCTCCTTCTCTCAATATAAATTCTTATTTTGATAGCTTCGCAGAAACGTCGGGCTTTTTTTCTTCTTCAGAAGCTTCGTTTAGAAATTCCTTATATAAATTCTTATATGTTGTTCTATTCGTGACATAGGCCGCTGTGTTAAAATTCTTTTGGATATAATCAATGTCCATTTTATTAATTAGTGGGCTTTCATCCTGCTCTGTTTTTTATGGGAAAGTTACACATTTAGATTTAGTTGTGGGCAAAAAATATTTATATTTGTTAATTAATATATATAAATTGTATACTAGTTATGCATATATTATCTAATGACTAACATGTCTTTTATTAATTAGAGATTACAATCAGTGGCTGTTTGGTTTCCTTTTTACTCTCTTTGTTCTATTTTATGTGGCTATTTATATTTCTTTATTAATCCGTTCAAAAAGAATCATTTCTTTATTACAGAAAATAGACAACTTTATTTCTTTATTACAGAAATAAAGTTTATTTCTTTATTACAGAAAATAGACAACTTTCTGTAACGACTTAACCGGTCATTTTTTCTTCTAGAATCATTCCCCTAAATAAGATTCCTCGAATGTGCTTTTACTGTTTTAGGACTTGCGGGGATGGTTAGTTCAGAAATTGGAAAGGTTCGAGTTGAAATCGGAACATTTGGTTCCTTAGTTTGGCTTTAAAAGGCCAAGTTTAACTTCGGTCAACGTTTTGAGTAAACGACCTCGGAATTGTGATTTGACGGTTCCAATAGGTTCGTATGATAATTTTGGACTTGGGCGTATATTCAAGTCGGGTTTTGGACAACCCGGGAATGTTTCGGCGCTTAACAGTGAAAGTTGACTATTTAAAGGTTTTAAGGTTATTTAAATTTGGTTTGGAGTATGTTTTGGAGTAATCGAGGTCCGTTTGGAATTCCGAGCCTGGGAATAGTTCCGTATGGTAATTTAAGACTTGCACGCAAAATTGGGTGTTATTCTGAGTAGTCTAAGTATGATTCGGAGAGTTCAGGGCAATTTGGAAACTTGAAGTTCATATTTTGATTCAATTCGATTTTGGGGTGCGATTCTTGGTTTCGTTATTGATTTACGCATTACGAGAGTTCGAGCAGGTCTGTATTATATTTATAAACTTGTTGGTGTATTTAGACGGGGTCGCAAGTGGCTCGGGTGAGTTTTGAAACACCCGGAGCTAAGTTGAAAAAAACAGAAATTCCAGTTCTGGTTTCCTTCTTCGCGAACGCGGAAGGACTCTCGCATTCAGGATGAAGGAATTTGGGATCTGGGCAATTGCCCTTCGCGTTCGCGTGAAGGACGTCACGTTCGCGAAGCTTGGGATCCTAGGCCTACGCGTATTTCACCCTTCGCGTTCGCGAAGGAGTCCACATGTTCGCGAAGGGTAGGCCAGGCAAGCCTTTGCGTTCGCGAGACCTCTGTCGCGTTCGCAAAGAGTATTTTAGGGCTGGTAAAATTTTGCCTTCGCGAACGCGAGGCACTTACCGCGTTCGCGAAGAAGTTGTCAGCAAAGCTAGGCAGAATGTCTTAAACACGGGGCTTAGCATTTTTGTGCCAATTTTCTCCATTCTTGGGCTATTTTGGAGCTTCTTGAGAGGGGTGTTCACCTAGCAACTTAGAGGTAAGTTAATTCTACCTATTGTGAGTTAAATACATAGATTATGAGTAGATTATAACATGTAAATTGTGTAAATCAAGGGTTTAGATAAAAAACTTAGATTTTGATAAAAATGAGATTTTAACCACGAAAATGGTTATGGAATGTGATGAAAATTGTATGTTTGAGTTCTTAAGGTTATGGGTGACGATTTCCTATGAAAATTTTCGGAATCCAGTGTCACGTCTCAAACTAGCCCCTAGATGTGACTGGCACCCAACTAACACCACCTGCCAAGCGAACCCATTTCTCTAACATTTAACCATTTACACAAATACTGAGAGAAACAAATACATGCCTAATAGCATTATTAATGATTTAGGAGGAAATGATTATCGCCCAATACCTTAGTTAATCAATAGAAAAATCAACAATCACTCAAATAATAAAACTCTACCACAAATCCCACACTAAGACCATGAAGCATCTAACAGAGTAACATGAGTTTTATTGACGGGTACGCAAACCCCAAAGAAAAAGGAAATAACTAACACAAACTAAGTAAGTCTGAAAAGAAAGCCTCCACGAACAATGCGATGGCTCACCTCAGCAATAGGATCCACTCGAACAAACTCATCAGCCACTAGCTCTATCTCCCGCAATGGTATCTGCATAGAGATACAGGTAAGGAGTGAGTTATACGTAATTATAACCCGGTAAGATCCTCGACCCGCCACTTTAAATACCTATGGAACAAGTGTTAGAAAATACAATCATACTACAACACGAATGATATAGTAAATATGATAATTATACAATAACTCAATATATGCGTATCAACAGACAACAACAACAACCCAGTAAAATCTTATTAATGGGGTCTGGGGAGGGTAGTGTGTACGCAGGCCTTACCCCTAACCCGAAGGAGTAGAGAGGTTGTTTTCGAAAGACCCTCGTCTCAAAAAACAAAAAGACAAAAGGACAAAAAGGAGACCATATTAGTATCACAACAACAATCATAGGAAATATAGGAACACCATGAAATCCAGAAGAAAGATGCAAAGCAAAGGGAGACAATATTAGTATCACCACAACAATCATAATAAAAATAAGAACACTATGAAATTTAAAAGAAAGATGCAAAGCAAAAGCGATAGCTAGTAAATAGGACATGCACTGAAAAGCAAAATAGTAAGGCAAAACATTGTCACTAGCTATCTTAGATAAAAACCCTACATGGCTAGTCCCACAATAGTACGAAGTAAGGCACGACTCAACTATCTCCTAACCTATAGCCTTAATACTCGACCTCCACATCTTCCTATCAAGTGTCATGTCCTCGGAAATCTGGAGCCTCGCCATATCCTGCCTGATCACCTCTCCCCAATACTTCTTAGGCCGCCCTCTACCTCTTCTTGTGCCCTCCATAACCAGCCGCTCACACCTCCGTACCGGAGCATCTGGGCTTCTCCTTTGAACATGTCCGAACCATCTAAGCCTCTCTTCCCGCATCTTTTCATCAATGGGAGCCACGTGCATCTTTTCCCGAATATCATCATTCCTAATCTTATCTATCATAGTGTGCCCGCACATCCACCGCAACATCCTCATTTCTGCTACTTTCATCTTCTGGTTATGTGAGTTTTTAACGGGCCAACACTCAGCCCCGTATCAACAGAGTTGTTAAGAATTAACCAACAAGGATACCCACTAAGGACTTATCATAATTGCAGTGAAATAAACTTACCAACACACCTACGAGTTCACAACGTCACCACAATGCCTCAAATATGCAACAGAGCATACACAATGCTCACTGAAGCATACACAATGCCCCAAATATATCAAGAAGCATAAACAATGGTCGGGTGATATACAAAGGCATACACAATGCCCCGACATCATGGCGCACAACCGTATCAAACTCAACATCATGGAGCACATTCGTATCAAACTCAACATCATGGCGCACATTCGTATCAAACACATCATGGCGCACAACCGTATCAAACTCAACATCATGGCGCACAGCCGTATTAAACTCAACAGCATGGCTCACAGCCGAATCAAACTATCAAACTCAACCTCATGGCGCACAGCTGTATCAACTATAAAACAACTTATAAAATAATATATTTTTTTCATAAAATTATATATTTGCGGCTAGTCTAAGACCACCGATTATGCCAAGTGCACGCTTGTCCCAACACATGGACCGGGTAGAGAAAATACATATTTAAAACGGGTTTTAGAAAATGAAGTATCAAAGCTTAAAGTCTCACTTACCTCGCTAACATGGAAGTTCTCCAACCTTGCAATGCCTAGAACACCAACCAAATGGCCTCCAATGGCCTCAATCTGTGAAAAGCTCACACAGTGATGGCTTTACTCGCCGCCGTTAATGGTCCTGAATGTTTCGCTTCTTCTTTTGCTCTGTTTCTTCTTTTTTCTTTTTTTTTTATTACGCCTTATATTTCTTTTTTTTTTTCTCTAATCTCTATGTTACTAAAATATAGAAGCAACAAAAGAATGGGCTTAGCCTACTCCTTATTTAATAATTAGCCAAAGTTAACTATATAAGCATGGTTCAAAAGTTAGCCACTAGCCATTTAATAGTACCATATCTCATATAGTAACAAAATTTCCTTCCACAACTTAATATTTGATCCCAATATTTACAAATTAAATTAGTTCTCCAATCTCCTAATTAATAAGTGTATAAAATATTTCGGACTATTACATTCTCCCCCATTTAAACAAGCGTTCGTCCTCGAACGAGTTAGAAAGCGTACCTGACGTCTCAAACAACTGGGGGTACTTGCTTTGCATGTCTGATTTGGACTCCCACATAACTTCCTCTATTGGATGGTTACGCCATAATACTTTCACTGAATCAACCTTTTTTGATCTCAATTGCCACACTTGCTGATCAAGAATAGCTATCGGACCTTCTTCATAAGTTAAGTTCTCATCAAGCTCCACATCCTCTGGTTGAATCTTATGACTATCTTCACGAACATATCGCCTAAGCATAGACACATTAAATACGGGATGGACCGCAGATAACCTCAGAGGCAAGGCAAGTTTATACGCCACCGAACCGATTCGATCTAAAATCACGTACATACCAATATACCTCGGACTTAGCTTTCCTTTGCGCCCGAATCTCATGACTCCTTTCATAGAAGACACCTTCAAAAAGACTTTTTCTCCTTTCATGAACTCCAAATCACGAACTCTCTTATCTGCATAGGTTGTTTGTCTACTTTGAGCGGTCCGAAGTCGTTCTCGTATCAATGTAACTTTCTCCAAAGCTTGTTGAACCAAATTCGGATCCAATAGTTGGGCTTCACCATGTTCAAACCATCCAACTGGTGAACGACATTTACGACCATATAGAGCTTCAAACGGCGCCATTTGTATACTCGACCGATAGCTGTTATTATAAGCAAACTCTGCTAACGGCAACTGATCGTCCCAATGACCACCAAAATCAATTGCACAAGCTCTAAGCATGTCCTCCAAGATCTAAATAACCCGCTCGGACTGTCCATCCATCTGTGGATGGAAAGATGTGCTCAACTCAACCTGAGAACCCAATGACTTCTAAAAATAATTCCAAAACTCAGTAGTAAACTGTGCACCCCGATCTGATATTATAGAAATAGGCACAGCATGAAGCCGAACTATATCACGGAGGTATATTTCTACTAGTTGTTCTGCAGTATGAGTAACTCGAACTGGTATGAAGTGTGCGAACTTTGTGAGTCTGTCCACGATCACCCATACTGAATCATATTTCTTAAAAGTACGTGGCAACCCAACTACAAAATCCATAGTAATCCTTTCCCACTTCCACTCTGGGATAATCAAATTCTGCATCATCACCTATTTTTTGGTGCTCATATTTCACCTGATGACAATTTAAGCAACTAGTCACATGTTTCAGAATATCATACTTCATACATTTCCACCAGTACAATTCACGCAAGTCTTGATACATTTTAGTAGCACCTGGATGGATAGAGTAGCGGGAGTTATGAGCCTCTTCGAGAATCAACTGCTTCACATCACCTACCACGGGGATACACAATCTACCATGTCGACGTAACACACCTTCACTTTCAATAGCAAATGAATTAACGCCGCCATTTTTCACTCGATCTCGGATTTTAGCAAGATGGGAATCTTCAAATTGACGAGCCTTGACCTATCCAACCAAGGATGATTGTGCTACCAAACCCGCAAGTAATCTACCCGACAATGTATGATCAATACGCACTCCTCGATTTGCCAACGCCTGAATATCTATAACCATAAGTCGTTCTTCAGCAGTAAATCGGGCCAAGCTACCCATAGACTTTCTACTCAAGGCGTCTGCCACCACATTCGCCTTCCCGGGATGATATAAAATAGTAAGATCATAATCATTAAGTAATTCTAACCACTGTCTCTGCCTCAGATTCAGATCTCTTTGCTTGAGTATGTATTGCAGACTCTTGTGATCAGTGTAGATTTCACACGGCTCACCATAAAGATAGTGGCACCAGATCTTAAGTGCAAATACGATCGCAACTAATTCCAAGTCATGAGTTGGATAATTCTTTTCATGGTTCTTTAGCTGCCGAGAAGCATAAGCTACTACCTTGCCATTCTGCATCAGCACACAACCCAAACCGACTCGAGACGCATCACAATAAATAGTAAAACTCCTTACACTTGTAGGTAGTGTCAAAATCAGAGTTGTAGTCAACGCGGTCTTCAATTTCTGAAAACTTTCTTCACACTCATTTGACCACTGAAATGCTACACCTTTCTGAGTCAATCGAGTCAATGAAGTGGCTATCTTTGAGAAACCCTCAACAAACCTTCTATAATATCTGGCTAGGCCTAATAAGCTATGTATCTCTGTAGGAGTAGTGGGTCGAGGCCAATATCGAACTGCCTCTATCTTTTTTGGATCAACTTGAATCCCATCTCGTGACACCACATGTCCCAAAAAGGAAACTGTATCCAACCAAAATTCACACTTTGAGAACTTGGCATAAAGCTTTCGCTCCCTAAATGTCTATAGCACAACTCTCAAGTGTTGTTCATGTTCCGCCTCACTTCGAGAGTAGACCAAAATGTCATCAATAAATACAATCACAAAATGATCTAAGAATGGCCTATTATGAGGTCCATAAATGTTGCGGGGGTATTAGTAAGCCCGAAGGACATCATAAAAAATTCAAAAATGCCCGTTCCTGGTCCGAAACATTGTCTTGGCTATATCCTCGGTCTTAATTCTCAGCTGATGGTAACCCGATCTCAAGTCAATCTTTGAAAAATGAGTTGCACCCTGTAGCTAGTCAAATAGATCATCAATACGTGACAACGGATATTTATTCTTGATCGTCACCTTATTCAGCTGCATATAATCAATACATATTCTCATCGTGCCATCTTTCTTTTAAACAAATAACACGGGTGCACCCCAAGGAGACACACTGGGCCTGATCAACCCCTTATCAAGTAGCTCTTGAAGTTGAACCTTTAATTCTCTCAACTCCGCTAGAGCCATACGGTATGGAGGAATAGAGATAGGTTGAGTTCCTGGCACCAAATCAATACTGAACTCAATTTCTCTTGTCGGAGGCAGCCTGGGTAAATCTTCTGGAAATACATCAGCAAATTCTCGAACCAACCACTGGAACACTATCAATAGTAACATCCTTTAAGCGTGTATCATGAACAGTAGCAATAAAACCCAAACACCCATTATTAATCATTCGACGTGTTTTTACATGGGATATTATCTTTCCCTGAGTCAGAGGAGTTATGCCTTTCCACACTAAACATGGTTCTCCAGGAAAATCAAAACGTATAAGCTTGGAATGACAATCAACTGAAGCATAACATGACGCTAACCAATCCATACCCATAATTACATCAAAGTCGGACATAGGAAATATTAGTAGATCAACTATGGTGTCCCTCCCATGAATAAATATCACACAGTCTCTATAGACTCTATCCACAGATATAGTCTCCCCCACTGGGGTCACCACAATATAAGGCACATTAAGAGACTCAACTCCTCGCTCTAAGTATATGGAAAAATATGGAGATACATATGAATACGTAGAACCAGGATCAATAAGAGTGTAAGCCCCATAAGAACCGATAGTGATAATACCTGTGACTACTGCATTAGATGACTCGGCATCCTATCTGGCCATATCAAAGAATCTCGGCGATCCACCCGCTCCTTGAGCAGCCTGTGTACCCTGTCGACCTTGTCCACGAGCAACCTGTGGAGCGGCTCTAGCTGGCTGAGTCTGAGTTTGTGCACCTGTAAACATTCTCTGCGGATGTGGACTAGCATGGCTAGTAGCAGAATATCCTCTAGGACAATACTTAGCAATATGTACTTTTTGACCACAAGTAAAACAAGCCACATCTGTTCCAAAACAACGACCATCTGTTGCAAAACAAGCCCCTCGGATGTTCACTTGACTGATATGAGCCATTATCCTTCCTCTATATATGTTGTTGCCCCTATTTAGCTGGATAAGCACTCCTAGAAGACTGCACCACTGACTCTGACGGAGCAGGTCTGGACTGCCCATGATTAAAACTACTCTTGCCCTCAGATGGAGCTCCACTAAACCTGTCTGCGCTACGAGCCCTTTTGCTTTCTCGCTCGGTCATGTCCCTCTCTTGATAAGACTCATAACGGAGAGCAGTATCCACTACCTCTTTGTACAAACTACCTCGAACATCCCTAACCACAGGACCCCGATAAAGATGCTCAAGACCATCCACGAACCTCCTCACCTTCTCATTCTCATCTGCAACTAGAAAAGGTGCATAACTAGCTAAGTCAGTGAACTTAGCCTCATACTCCGTAACCGTCATACTGCCCTGGCGCAGTTGCTCGAACTGACGTCTCATGTCGTCTCGCTTGCTCAGTGGAACGAACCTATCCATAAACATAGCTGAAAACGCTGACCAAGTAATAGGTGGCAACCCAGCTCGTCTACCTCTCTGAACTGAATTCCACCATGACTCTACAGATCATGAAAATAGAAAAGTGGAAAATTCCACCCCTCGAATCTCTTTCAGCCCCAAAGTAGATAGTATCTTCTCACAATGTTGAATGAACTTCTGGGGCTCAATAGAAGCATGTGTAGCACCAAACTATGGTGGCTTAAGATCCATGAAACTCTTAAGATCCTTAGACTGCCCTGTATTTGCAACTGGCTGAACGACCTAATGAGGGGCCATCTGAGGAGCTGCAACATTCAGGTGAACTTGTGTTTGCGCCTGCGAAGTAGTCTGGGGAGCTGGAAGTTCACCCTGAGTAGGCACTAACGCCTCCAACACATTCAACAACCTCACCACTACATCTGCATGTAAGGTAATAGTAGGCACATCAACTGGGACTGGTGGTGGAGCATCATGAACCACTTGTTCTTGCACTCGATCTGGCATAGTAGCTTGAGATTGACCCGTGTTCACAACTTCAGGTTGAGGAGCGGCCTGTCTACTAGTCTAAGCTCTAGTCTGATGAGCTCCAACTTGACCACCACCTCGGGAAGTACCACGTCCAGCATAACATCTAACAGATGAGGGTGTGCGTGTCCTAGCCATCTGCGAAAGAAACAATCCAAAGTCAAACTCAAGTTATCTCAACACACGATCAAGGAATGAAAGAAGGGAAAACATCATAAATGCTTAGTAGACTCAAGATCATAAGTATGGGCGCCTACATACCCATGAGCAAGACTCTACTAAACACTGCTCCATGACTCGGGACTTAAAACTTGGCTTAGATACCAACTTTGTCACGTCCCAAACTACACCCTAGATGTGACTGGCACCCAACTAACACCACCTGCCAGGTGAACCCCTTTCTCTAACATTTAACCATTTACACAAACACTGAGAGAAACAAATACAGGCCTAATTGCATTATTAATAATTTAGGAGGAAATGATTATCGCCCAATACCTTAGTTAATCGATAGAAAAACCAACAATCATTCAAATAATAAAACTATAGCCCAAATCCCACACTAAGACCATGAAGCATCTAACAGAGTAACATGAGTTTTATTGACGGGTACGCAAACCCCAAAGAAAAAGGAAATAACTAACACGAACTAAGTAAGTCTGAAAAGAAAGCCTCCACGAACAATGCGATGGCTCACCTCAGCAATAGGATCCACTCGAACAAACTCGTCAGCCACTAGCTCTATCTCTCGCAACGATATCTGCATAGAGATGCATATAAGGAGTGAGTTATACGTAAATATAACCCAGTAAGATCCTCGACCCGCCACTTTAAATACCTTTGGAACAAGTGTTAGAAAATACAAACACACTACAACACGAATGATATAGTAAATATGATAATTATACAATAACTCAATATATGCGCATCAACAGAGTTATTAAGAATTAACCAACAAGGATACTCACTAAAGACTTATCATAATTGCAGTGAAAGAAATTTACCAACATACCTACGAGTTCACAACGGCACCACAATGCCTCAAATATGTAACAGAGCATACACAATGCTCACTGAAGCATACACAATGCCCCAAATATATCAAGAAGCATACACAATGCTCGGGTGATGTACAAAGGCATACACAATGCCCCAACATCATGGCGCACAGCCGTATCGAACTCAACATCATGGCGCACAGCCGTATCAAACTCAACATCATGGCGCACTGCCGTATCAAACACATCATGGAACATAGCCGTATCAAACTCAACATCATGGCGCACAACCGTATCGAACTCAACATCATGGCGCACAGCCGCATCAAACTCAACACTATGGCGCACAACCGAATCAAACTATCAATTTCAACCTCATGGCGCACAGTCGTATCAACTATAAAACAACTTATAAAATAATATTATTTTCCATAAAATAATATATTTACGGCTAGTCTAAGACCACCGATTCTTCCAAGCGCACGTTTGTCCCATCACATGGACCGGGCAGAGAAAATACATTTTTAAAACGGGTTTTAGAAAAGCAAGTATCAAAGCTTGAAGTCTCACTTACCTCGCTAACAGAGAAGTTTTCCAACCTTGCAACGCCTAGAACACCAACCAAACGGCCTCCAATGGCCTCAATCTGTGAAAAGCTCACACAGTGATGGCTTTACTCGCCGCCGTTAATGGTCCTGAATGTTTCGCTTCCTCTTTTGCTCTGTTTCTTCTTCTCTCTTTTTTTTATTTATTACGCCTTATGTTTCTTTCTTTTTTTTCTCTAATCCCTAGGTTACAAAAATATTGTAGCAACAAAAGAATGGGCTTGGACTACTCCTTATTTAATAATTAGCCAAAGTTAACTATATAAGCATGGTTCAAAAGTTAGCCACTAGCCACTTAATAGTACCATATCTCATATAGTAACAAACTTTCCTTCCACAACTTAATATTTGATCCCAATATTTACAAATTAAATTAGCTCTCCAATCTCCTAATTAATAAGTGTATAAAATATTTCGGATTATTACATCCAAGCACGTGGGTCCGGGGTGAATTTTAGGAATTTTACCAATTTGGGGTTAGGTAATTAATCTAATAATCTAATTTCGAATTATTGATTAAATTATATAACATTTGGCTAGTTTCAGATTTTTCGGCATCAAATTAAGGCTTTAACGTGAAATTGTGATCGGGAAGTGAACTTTGAGATGAGGTAAGTCTCTTGTCTAACCTTGTAAGAGGAAATTTACAAGGTTTGTGAAATTGTGCTCGAATTCGGACTTAGAACAAAATCTGAAAGTTTCTGTCATCTGATATAACCGCACCTGCGGGTGAAGGAGAGCAGAAGCGAGCTCGCAGGTTCGAGTTGGGATGCGCAGAAGCGGAGGGTGCAGAAGCGGAAGAAACTTCGTTGGTGCGGACTCGCACCTCCGCGTGGAGGATCGCAGAAGCGGCATTAGCCGCAAAAACGGCAGCTTGGCCGCAGAAGCGGGAACCGCAGAAGCGACTTAATGAGCCACGGGTGCGAAAGCACTGACCAGATTACAAAACAAAGGGGCTCCGACATTTTTGTCATTTTGGACATTTGCAACACTATTTTGGGCGATTTTTCAGAGAGAATTCACGGGAAAACTTGAGGTAAGTCACATGTGATCATTGTTAGTCAATAATATTGGATTATCATTGAGTATTTCGACTAGATTACATGTTTTTGAGGTGAAATTAGAGGATTTGGACCTAGGGATTTCAAAATAAGAATTTGAGATTTGCACGTCGAGTTGATGTCGGAATTTGGTAAAATTCGTATGGTTGAACTCGTGGTTGAATGGGCGTTCATATTTTATAATTTTTGTCGGATTCCGAGGCGTGGGCCCTGCGGGCAATTTTTGGGTTAAATTTTGGATTTTTGTAGAAAATTTATATTTTCATATAGAATTTATTCCTATAATTTGTATTGATTGAATCGAATTAATTATGACTAGATTCGAATCAATCAGAGTCGGAAAATCGAGGAAAAGGCATACTACTTGACTAATTGAGCATGGTTTGAGGTAAGTGACTTGTCTAACTTTGTGTGGGGAAATTTTCCCTAGGATTGGTATTGATGTGATAATTATAATGTGTTGAAAGTCGTGTACATAAGGTGACGAGTGTGTACACGGGCTAAATGTTGAAGATTATGTCTTTATATTGTGTAGATTACTGATGCATATTAATTAAATTATTTTATCCTCTTATATTCATCAAAATTGATCCATTTTATATTCTTAAATTTGCCTGACATTTTTCCTGCTAATTATTTTACTTGTTTAGTTGAAACTTTGTTTCTTTTATTCTGTGCATTATTTGAAGGTTGAATTTCTTTAATTTAAATATTATTTATATGAAGTATTTGACATTTTTAAATTTGGTATTGAGGCAACGTGTTAAAAATTATGAAGAAATATTTTTTTTGCTGAGTTATTCATTCCCGAATATTTTTGTGAGATTTTGTACTCATTGTGATTGAGCCATGAGCTACCTATTATGGAAAATATTGTTGTTGATTTAGTTTGGCAATTTAAAATATTTGAGCACTTGAGGTACAAATTGCGATATATTGATACGCATGCGGTGGTATAAGGTCTGGGTGTTGAAATGCATGCGGTGAGATAAGAGTGGCTTGATACGCGTGGCTAGTAGGGGAACTACTAGAAGTCATGCGGTGTGATAAGGGTGGCTAAAACGCGTGATGCTATTTCGAAAAAAATATTTTCTTTAAAATTACTCCCTCCGGTCACTTTTACTTGGCATGTATACTAAAAATAGATGTTCACTTTTACTTGGCACTTTACGCATATCAAGAGAAGACAATAAATTTTTTTCTGTTTTACCCACAGTATTTATTACCATTTCAAATCATTTTCTCAAATCCAATAAAATATGCATCAATTAATATGGGTAACATGGTAAATTATGCACTTCATTTATTATTTCTTAAGGGGCGTGAAAAGTCAAAATGTGTCAAGTAAAAGTGACCGGAGGGAGTAAATGTGAAGGCTCCCGCGGTGATATAAGGAAATGAGATAATGTGAATTTATTTATGATTTGGGATTACGAGACGATACCTCGGTAGTGCCCTTGTGGATATTTCTTTATGGCTACAAATGTCTTTGATTATTGTTGTGATTTTCTTAAAACTGTAAACTTCTGTTTTCTTTTCGCGAGATATTATTTGCCCTTAGTTTGTGTAATTAAAGGTGACATACTACTTACTTGATTTATTTTCATTGTCATTTTATTGTTATTATATTGTAAAACATTTCACCGTGTATTTTATTATTTTCAGTAGGGCCTGACCTGACCTCGTCACTACTTTACTGAGATTAGACTTGGCACTTACTGGGTACCGATGTGGTGTACTCATACTACGCTTCTGCACATCTTTTTGTGCAGATCCAATTACTTCCAACCAGCCCAGATATAAGTGAACTACTTGTGTACGGAAACTTCGAGGTATATCTGCCAGCGTCCGCAGACTCCGAAGTCCCCTTCTATCCTTAATATGTTGCTTCCTTATTTGCATTATAGTTTAATTGCTTGCTAAAGTCTTGATTCACAATATATGCAAAGATTTATGAAAAGAATATGAATTTCATGGAAGTGAAGATGATAAAGATAAGATTATAAGAAGCTTTACAAAGATAAAAATTAAAGGCATTGAAAGGCCAACTCTGAAAGAGCTCTTGCACATAAGAACAAGTTATATATGTATCTGATATAGACACACTTATCCACCGTCAGAAATGTTGGAGTAATACAACTTTCCAGAAAATAAAAAATATGAAATAAATGTGTACATGAAGGTGTTTTAAATTTATGCAAGCTAATTTACACCTAAGAAAAATGCTTTCAATAAGTTACAGTCTCCAGAATTTTGAGAGTTCTTATGAATTCGTAATGGGCGCATAAAAAGATTCAGCACAAGAATCAGTTCTTTTGTCAACAGTGGCACGAGCCCAGAAAGCTTTGGTTGAACATTTGATATGGAATGGATGCATCTGTCTTCCAATTAGCACAGAGCTTTCCACCATAGCTATTTCGCCAGTCTCTATGAAATCATTAGGTTGATAGGAAGAACAATCCCCAACAATTGTGCAAGAATTCACGACTAGCATGCCAATTCATCGGCTACTATAGGAGGAATAAAAGAGCAGCCTTGCAGTGTCTGCTCAAAGATATGGCCTACTTTAAACAATTTCTCCTGCAGTCATTTTAGTAAGTAAAATATCAAGAACTTTAGCATGTAAAAGCGGGAAACAAACACACACACCCCCACACACATGCGAGCATGAACAAAGAACAGCATGAAGAGAAGGAAAAGAAAAGGACATATAAGACTAGAAACCATGTGAGGCAAGGTTCAAATGATTTGAAAATCTCTTCAGAACATAGACAAGGATATCCTTCACTGAACTCTAAAACTACTTGGTGTTCACATTAATTTCTAAATTCTAATCATTTTCTACTAATTCAGTTTTGCTTGTGTTAAATTCGAACATTTGTGCTACATAGTTTCCATTTCATCTTTCCTTGAGCTGAGGGTTTATCGGAAACAGCCTCTCTGCCTTCTCAAGGTAGGGGTAAGGTCCGCATACACACTACCCTCCCCAGACCCCACTTGTGGAATTACAATGAGTTTGTTGTTGATTGTTGTTGTTGTTGTGCTACATGGTTTCCAATTATTCTTTCCTATAGTCCCGTAAGGAACTGAATGTATTCAGCACTACTTTTTAAGATGCTCATGTTTAACTCGATTCCAATTTCAAGCTAAGTAGCTGTACCATCCTTCTTTCCCCCTTTCTCTAACTTTTCTCAAAAGAGAGGTCTAAGTAAGTCAAAGTACCCCCACGCTCAAATATCCTGTTTTATCCTAAATACTGGAATACCAACTGGAAAAATCGGAGTACTGAGACCCACCTCTTCAAATGCAGCACCAATCATCTGAATACCAACAGGAAGGGCCGCAGAGCTGCTATCAACAAATCCACACGGGAGAACTAATGCTGGAAGACCAGCCAAGTTGACATTGACCTGCCGATGATAAAAAGAATCATCAACTGAAGAGAATAGAGAATAAACTAACGAGTTACATCATCAACCGACTATAGGGGAAAAAAGTTCGAAAATTACCAAGAGAAATGTAAGAAGCAACAAAATTACTTACAGTCATGATATCACCAGCATACATTGACAATGGATC